GATTTCCCCCTTACGTGTGTAAACCATCTCATGGGGGTGCAGTGTAAAATCAAGCAATTATATTCAGGACTCAGAAAAGGAGGCTTCTGGTGGTGTACTTGTAGCTGTGTGTACCCAGCTTTTGGGTCAGTGGTCGAATCTCCAGCTGGGGCTCACTCAACCTTGATTTAAGTCTAAATGAGTGCAGCAATACAGGCTGAAAAAAAAATTCTCCACACTAGACAATGAGCTGGCCACCTGCCCCACATGTTCTCTTCTTTTTAAAAAGCTACCCCTTCAAGATGTCCATTCCTCCCAGTATGTTAGGAAAACGGGGGTTAGACTCACAGCCTTAGCGTGGTTGAACATATATGAGGAAAGTCAGCAGAGTGATTTGATCAGTGTTCTTTCCTTATCCCTTTAATTTTATTCTAGTGCAAACGGAGCAGATGGGATTCTTATGAAATTCCATGGAATAAAAGTGAGATGGGCGTCGGTTTCCCTATCCCCTGAAATAACGTAAAGTACTAAGATAATAACTCTGCTACTGGCAGCTGAATGAAAAGCTTGCAATTACAGCACAAGGAGACCCTGACTGTGCAGAATAAAACTGTGATAATTACATCTGTCATATTTGTACTTAGTCCTCATTAAATTTCAGGGAAATCATCCAGTAGTAAATAATGTGCAATCTTTGCTTTTAAATCAGAGGTCATGAAAGTAAATGGGAATTCTGTTTTTCCTCATAGGGTTTCTGTGAGGAGAAAAAAACCCCATCAACTACATTAAAAACTCAGCTTGCTTATTATTGAAGACACCAGACTGAGGAATGTCATTAACATGACAGTTTGTTCAAACACAGCATACAAATTTTATCATGGAGAATAGACACTGTAATTCATAATCACATTCGCAACCAGATCTTCTACTTTCATTCCATAATGGTTTTCAAAAGAAGGATTTTAAAATTGTTTTAAATGTTAATTCAAGTATAAAGATAGGGACCAATTACTAACCCATCTTTTTTTTTTATTTTAATGTAGAGATGGAAGTGATGACTAAATAGTACTATCTGTGCTGTTAGTCTTTACTGTTAAGGAAGACATTTCAATATTAACACAAGAATATTTATAGTCCCTGTACTTAATGAAAAATATGTGGAAGTAAATTCTTAATTTTGCAAAAAATCAGATCTGAACATTGCATTCTAAAAAGCCTTGTTTTGTACATACTTTAAAGATACTGGTCAGTGTTTAACCTACTTTCCTTACTACTATAATGAGAAAAACTGTAAAAATGATAGATGTATCAATCTTGCATACAAGCTGGAATATGCTATTTCTAATCTTACACCAGTACAAATTAAGAGTAACTCTATTGGATTCAGTGGACTTAAATACATGTAAAAATGGCTTAAGTGATGCAACATCTGACCCAGTATATCCATCTCCGTCTGTCTGTGCATAGCAATGATTCTAGGGAGGGCTTAAGTATGTGTGTGTATATATAAATGTAACATTTGTAAATTGCATAAGATTTCAAAATGGCTAATCTTGCAGGTATACATTTATGCCTTTATTTTACTTTGCTTTTTTTGGACAATAGTTAGCAGGTACCACAAACAACTTCTTAAATCCAAATACATCCGAGTTGGCTGATTACAACTGAAATATACTGATGTTGCTGTATTTCATTAGCACTATCAGTGAAATATGTAACAGCCGAACTTATGTCTAAAACACCTAAGGAAACAAAGAATTTTACTGTGAGTAGAAATCAATGAGATTTGTGTAAAGTCTTATCATGGACAAGTTGGATAGTATTATAGTAAGAAAAACAAATAGAAAAAGTAAAGCAGTCGTTATAATTTTGTACCAATGTAAAGATGGAAACATAATTATGTAGTATCATAGCTTGAAAATATTGTAGTTAAAGTTGGCACTACTAATCATGACATCATATCCTTTGTGCTGTTCTATTTAAGATATCGTATATCAAATTTCATTTTAAAACACACTAAAAAGAGACAAGACATGGTATTAACTCATCTTAGGTTTATGAGTTATTTGATTTGATCTCCTTCTGAACTCCTTTTCTGATAATAAGTCTGCATAGGATAGATAATTCCTCGGAGGTTCTTTTTGCAGTTTTTCTTTCGTTTTAACTTTTATCAGTGATAGTGATCAAAATCAATGCAGTTAATTATGCTTTGGTTTGTAGTGGCCCTCAAGCCTTTCTTTTTTCTTCCCACAAATGAAATAATGGAAAAATAGACTGGTACATTATCATACAATCTTTTCTGCCATTCCTATGCTGCGGTGGAAAATGAAAATTCCATTATAGTAGAACATTTATAATTATACTACTTTCTTTCTAAAAGTGGCTGATCCATTTACTGCTTATGTAAACCATATGAATCTGGGGTTTGTAGGGTGAGCAGAGAGAAATCTTGTTCTCATTGAACAATTACATATGTAACATGATTTCTAAGGGTTGTTTCAGGACAAAACTTGAGCAAAGCAGACATGTTGATTTTTGTTTTCATAAACTGATAGTTTGGAACCTGATGTTCTCTGCTCTGGATGGCTTTTGTCTGTATCTGTGTCTGTGTCTAATTTTGGGGAAGAAATAGGATAGGGGATCCTGGAGGTAGGATAGTGATTAAGGGGGAATATAAAATGATCTATTTTGCTCATTGGTCAGTTGATTAAAATATTAATGATTTTATTTATAATTTCCTATTATTATTAATTATAGGAAAAGAGTACACTTGATAGACTTTTAAAAGTACATTAATTAAAAAACTGATTCATCAGTTGTCCCAGATCACATCATATCAAATATGATAAAAGTGAGGGACCTTCCTAAAATAAGTAGCCTTTGAAGCTGTAAATATAAAAATGTTAACAAAAACAGGCATTATGCTTAATTAGTTTAGTCTTTGCTCTATTTTGTTCAATTAAAGATCATTTAATAGCATGATAGGGCTTTTTGCCATCTTCTATTTGCTCTGCGCATACAAAGTGTTCCTGCTTATAATTATTTTCTGTATAACAAAGTGTGCACAGAATGTAGTACTTGTAATTATAATTTAGTTATTGTTAAATTGACGATACATTTCACCACTCTGTGCTCATTATGATGTTTGCCACGTTCCAAACAGCACCTTTGTGACAACAGCCGATTAATGCTGAAATGCCAAGAGTAGCCTATTCCTGATTTATCAGATAGATGAATGTTTAGAAGTATTTCTTCCAAGACCGTGCTACTTACATCATCACTGTCGTTGTTTTCTAGTGTATACACGCATGCATGCTTATAATTAGTTCAAAAAAGATCAACCAAATTGTGAGCTTTAATAATACAACTTATATACTTTTGCTGAGATTTACAGAGAGAAGCCTAAAGTCAGGCTCCTAAATACATAGTTAGATATCTAAATAAGTGGCCTGCTTTCAAAAGTGCTAAGCGCACTGCAATTTCCATTGCAGTCAATGGGACCTTTTGGGCAGATTACTTTTGAAAACAAAACGATTTTGGCCCAGTTCAGCAAAGTAAATAAAGTCAATGGGACTTACTCACATGTTTTGCTGAATTTGGCCCTTTTTAGATGCTTAATTTAGAACTTTATTTTTTGAAAATAATATACATGATTACATTATATACAAATATGTGTGCAATATAATTTTATGCTAAAACTATATATGATTCCCACTTTTTTGGATAATTATATTTCTATTGAGATGGGGAGAGTTGGTCTGCATAACTTTGCTGAAAAAGTAAACATCTCAATGAATTAGTTGCTCAAGAAAGAATATAATATAAACAAGGAATTAGAAACACTTTATTTGTATCAAGTTTTCTCCTAACAGTGTGTTGTATTTTAAAAGTAGGCTTTTATTCAAAATGGATTTAGCAATATAATTTTACTTGCATTGTGTTGTAATAGTGAATTTTAATATTAGGTCCAGTTTTAATTCTGAATCAGAAAATTAAAAGCATAAATGGTTTTTTCTACTTTTTTGCAACATTCATCATGTTGTTCCATTAGAATACCTTACATCTGTTCTTTTATGCTCCTTCCCTCTTTTCTATTGCACATAATTATGAGATACTTTCTTTTATGCTGACATCCACTATCACTGAAAATGTTGATAGGCTATGAATAAATTCAGTAGCTATCTGTTAACGAAACTATAACTTACATTCATTTCTATTAAGATCTTAACTTCACTTTTAGTACAGAAAACTATAAAGTGAAGTCTTTGAGTCTAATTCTGTTCTCAGTAACTTGGCATTGGCTAAAAGTTATTCTCACTGATTTCAGTGGGAGAATCAGAGCAGAATTTGGCCCTTTTTTTCTGTACATTCAAAGTTTTGTCTTGGTCTCTTAAGGGTTAGAATAAGTATTTTGAACAATATCTCAGACAATCTTATCTTTACCAGGAGAATGGAGACTGTGATTTAGGACCAAGAAAACCAACCATCAGTTTGAAAACATTCATTGTAACTCGCTAATCCTATTTACTCTGATGGCTCTGTTTCTTAGGTTTTTCCCCCCTTGCTCAGTCAGTCTTTGAATTAAATGTTATAATTAAGTCAAAAAGCAGAAATTCATCTACTGAGCATGCATTTAGACAAATCAATTAGCCAGAGAAAGCCAGAAACTGAATTTGTTCTCCATTTTTGCTTGTTATATGAGCTCTTGAGTAGCACAATGAATATGGAGCAGTTATTTAGCTGTGTCCAGCTTTCCTAACTCTCTGAAGAAAAATGTTTTAAGATTACTTCTGGGTTGCTGTGAAACCAAGGCTATGGATCTCAAGTAAATGCTTTTGACAGCAAATTCTTTTATATGATCTTATATTGCATATTTAGTACATCGAACACTAATATTGATCTGGTAACCTCACTCTTTTGTGGAAAGGAAGCTCTCCTGACCTCATGAACAGAAATAAAATGTTTTGCTCACCATCATTACTTTTAGTAATACTAGTCCATTCTCTCTCTTATCACTCCAGATGGACCATGATCCTAGGAACCCTGCATATATTGCTACTCAGGGCCCTCTTCCTGCTACTGTTGCTGACTTCTGGCAGGTAAATCTTTCTCAATTATAACTGTCTTTTTGAAAGTTCAGGCATGAAGCTGGTTTTATGTCTTAAATTGAAAACCTTCCTGCACTTTTAGAAATTTAAGAGGTATAAACCAATTATATTTTAGGCAGCCTTTGTAATTCAGTTGAGAAGCGATCCTGAGATGGCTACATGTCTTTTAAAGATATTACATGTAATTAACCAAGTGATGTAAATATACAAATTATGTTAAAGAAAATACATTATCTGTATAGGCCAAAATATTCAACCATGAATGCCTAATGTATGCTCCTAACTCCATATTTAGATGTCTACTTGAAACTGGTTTCTGAGACTTGACTTGCCTGAGAACCTAATTCAGATTAAGGCCCTTTTCCTGCATAGACTTGTATGCACTTTTAACTTAAGATCTCTTGAGTAGAACCACTTAAATCTACTCCTAATAGGTCCAGTTCAGAAAAATACTTGACCACACCCTTAAGTGATCTTCTGGACAAGGAAAATATCCTGAATCGTGCCACTGTGTGTAAAACAAAGTACGTAAGTCTTTGCAAAATCAGGGCCTAAGCTTGTAATTAACTAGATGGGAAAGTGGACTTACTTTGCATGAGCTTGATTGGGAGAACACATGGAAAATCATGACTTGAGCAGACACTTGGCTAGGTAAATTGTTAATCACACATGTGTATAAGTGACAAAGAGAAAATTAGACCTTTATTTGTAAGAACAAGTCTATGCCAGAAACACACTAAACATCAAACTGTTTCTGCTTAAACAGCATTACAACTATTGGTGCTTATTATCAGGAGCAGAAAATGTTTTTATTCACTGCTCTACTGTTTTACCTTACAAATGTAGGAAATTCTTAGCTAAGTTAGAGGGACTATAGATAACATTTTCAGAAGCGTCGTAGGAGCCTGTATTCAACTGAAAGTCATCACATCATTTTTCTATCCAGGTCCACCCATAAACATGGAGTTCATCTTCATTACAAAATATTTTATATTCAATGTATTTATTTTACAAAGTATGTTAACATTTTCTTTTGCATTTCTATTTCTGTATTTGTGGACAAATGAAGATAGAGGTCAAAATTTTTCAAAACTGATTTTGGTTACAAAAGAAAGTTGGTTGAGAGGGATGGGACTGAATCTCAGGCAGAGATTATTTAATTGGAAAAAAAAACCCAACTCCAGAAACCCTGGAGTTGCTGAGTTGAGACATTCTATCACTTATCAGTGATGGGAACACCCATTAATTGCCAGGTTTTTTGGATGCTGTTATCCTTAGACTCAATTATTTGAGCCTCCTATGCTTATACTCCTTAGTTAGGCCACCCAGGGAGATGTGACTTCTAAGTTATTCCCTGAATCTGTGCCAGTGAGGTACTCTTCCCTGTGTCATTGTGTTGGAGGATACATAAGAACACTCCGTGTGTCCCTTGTTTTATTCCCTTGAGTCAGATAGTTGTGTGTGGCAATGCTGTGGGGAGTGATATGGCCAGGATAGCAGCATGCGGACAAAGGCTTTATTACGTAGTCACTTCCAAGAGGGACGCAGCTCCTTGTTGTAATAAGAAGCTGTCTCTATTGCTGTCCAGTTTAAAAGGTACCCAGAAGTAATTTTGTCTATAGAGCTAACTTTTCCTGATTCTTTCAGGCAAATATATGAAAAGCCTCATTTTTTAGAAAAAATGTTTGTGTGCATATTTCAAGTATTCATACATGCAAGTACGAGTATATATGCTATGGTGAATACATATGCCTCTTCTTACATTTAAATATGGCATTTAAAAAACAAACTTTATAGGAAATGTCAGCAAAAATTTGGACATGATCACACCTGGATATGCTGGTGGCTAAATTTGTTTCCTCGCCCTGATAGATTTATTGTTGTCCCTTTCTGACTCAAACTAATACTCCCTTAAATGGGACTCCCTGTTCTGGCTGGATCATGGATGTTCCTGGACCACATTGCCCAGGAAGAAAGAGGTCTGGCGGTGGACAGGAGCACTGTAAGGGGCACAAGTAACTCAACCTCTTTCAACCAGCACTTTATCCAAAAGCTCATTGTTTTGTTCCTCAGAGTCAACCTACTAGGGCTTTTCTGGGTAGGACTGGGAATTCTTTGCTCCTTCTCTGTGTCCTTCTGTGTGTCTTAAATCTCTCAAAACTGTGGAAAAACTTTGTATTAAAAGTTTCTCCATTGATTTCTGGGTAACTCACCTGGGACCCCAAATATTCATAAACCAGGACCTCTGCTATTGGCACAGCCTTTTTGTCCCTTACTGCGTAAGCTTCAGGCCCTTCTGTGCATCAAGCCCATCCATGTATCCTTCACCTGCTGATTTTCCCCTTTTCCTGTACCTATACAATATAATCATCTTTAAATTCCAAGCTCTCTAGCTGCAACCAGAAAGCCTTTACTGGAGTATTCTGAAGTGATTTTACTTTCCATTGTGGCTGCATTTGTCCATATAATTTTGCTATCTCTCACTGTGCTGATTACCATGCTTGTGCCCCAGCTTCTAATACTATAATATTGTAACTCTCCCCTTTTCCTGTACCTATACAATATAATCATCTTTAAATTCCAAGCTCTCTAGCTGCAACCAGAAAGCCTTTACTGGAGTATTCTGAAGTGATTTTACTTTCCATTGTGGCTGCATTTGTCCATATAATTTTGCTATCTCTCACTGTGCTGATTACCATGCTTGTGCCCCAGCTTCTAATACTATAATATTGTAACTCT